TGATTGCCTCCACGTTCGTAATGAATGATCCAAACTAAATTTTCGTCATTCATGGGTTCTTGCCTATACTGCTTGATGCGGGGTCAAGGTTTTACAACTTTTTACTCCTGTTTCATTTGATTTTCGGGAAAATATAAATTAATAGCATATCATGTTGTCTGTTATAAAGTTATTTTTCAATATTATTTTTATTTTGTTTTAGAATGAAATATCCATCAAATTGAGAAATTATTTATTTGTAATAAATTGAGATCGATGAGTTTAAATTTTAATGCATGCATCAAGTTTTTATTTTTATTTTTACATACTCTAACAAGTAAATAATATCTTGATTTACAAATTATAATTAATTTTATTTTCTTAAAGTATCAAAATAAAACCTTAAAAATATTTCTTTTAAAATCAATTTTTTTAGGTGAAATAGATTTTTAATTTATTATGCAAAAATCAACAACAAATCAATAAAGGTTTCATCAATTATTATTTTTCAATATACCTCAATTATAAAATTAAATAAACAGTCACTTTACTAAGTTAAAGAAATAATAACATGAATATAAGAAGAAGAAAAAAAACCTTTGTAATACTTTCTTAGACTCTGTTTGTTTGGTGGAAAATAATTTTCAATAGAAAAATCAATTTTGGAGAAACTATTTCTAGGAAGTTTTTTTTCAAAAAATATGGTCTAACTTTTTTGCAATTACATGAAAAAACTACTAAAAAATATATTTCAGTATTTGTTTATACGGAAAACTAAAATATAAAAACAGTATCGTAATTGTTACATCACCGAGTTTTCGGAAAACTTCAATAAGACATATTTACAATTTCACAATATAAGATGCATTTAGTAAAATTTAATAAGTTTTTATAATACCAACTCTAAGATTTAACTTCAAAAAATAAAATATACAATTTTAACCATCAAACCAATTCATCAAAACTACCCGAGACAAAATCAAGTCAATATTCACATTAAGTAAAAAAATTCTAAGTAATCCTAATATTGTTATTTTGGTAACTTGATGAAGATTTTTTTTTTTTTTTGAAAATTGAACTAATAATTTAGTTCAAAAAATAGTTTTACAAATTAATAATTATCTACAAATTATTAATTATCATTTGTAGATAATTATTAATTTGGTTTCAAAAAGATTAAGGTTGTAATAATTTGTAACTAATTATTGACTACAATTACAACAAAATTTTACAATTGATTAAAATTATTCATAAATTATTGATTTAGTTGCAAATTAATAGTGTTGGAAAAAATTAATTATGTATTTATTAATTAATTTATTAGTTTTAATTTTTTTTACAAATGATTGCATTCTTTTAATAATCATTTTCAAATATTTAAGTGTATTTTAGGTGGTGTTTGGGATAATAGTAAAAAATAAAAATAAAAATAAAATATTGAAATATTTATTATAAAAATAATTTTAAGGTGTAAAAATGATTTTTAAGAATATTTAATGTATTTATAAATAAAAAAATTAGATGTTAGTAGAAATAGAGAAAAATAATTAAATAATTAATAATAATTGATAGGAAATAATTAAAAAATAATTTGATATATTTTAAATAAAAATGAGATTGAGAAAAAATTATTATAATACTTCAAGATAGAAGTGAGTAACGCGAGAGCGAGACAGACTCTTGAGAGAGAGGGAAAATGTTTTCCTTTTTTTTACTCAAAAAACGCTTTTTTAAAAAATACTCTATCATTTTTTGTTGATTGAAAATCATTTTTCATTGATTTTTTTTCTAAATGTGAAACAAACATCAAAAAATTGAGAAAAATGAGGAAAACAAATTTCTAAAACTTATTTTCCTTCAAACAAATACAGCCTTAATAACTTTTAGCAAAGTCAATTTTTTATTACATGAAATAGATTTCTAATTCACTAATGAAAACAATCACTCTCCCAAAGTAAGGAAACAATATAGTATTGTGATAAAAGAGAAATAAACCTTAGAAACCTTTCTTAATTACTTTTGATAAATTATTTTTTCTTAAGTGAGATCTATTTCAAATTCACTATGAAAAAAATCATTTTAATACTGTGAGGAATCAATATCTGGATTAAAAAAAAAACTATTTTCTTAACGATTTCTAGTAAATTAATTGTTTTTCAAGTGAAATAGATTTCTAATTCACTAATTGAAATTATTCATAACTATCCAAAAAGCAATTAGCAACATCCAAAACGCATTTTACATGTGTGAATAATGGTTTTTGCAAATAAACCTTTTAATTACATGGTCAATGGTTAAAGTTGACTATCATGTAGGATCATCAAGTTTTGCCTATAAATACATATGGGAGGCGCTGCCTTGTATAGAGCATGTTGGGTTAGGCAATTAAAGAGATGAAAGCCACAAATTTAGTAGCTGTAGTTCTCTTCATACTTCTCATACCAGCTGCCTTTTCGAGTCTACTAAACTATAATGTCACCGAATTTACTCAACCTTTTCCACTAGAGGTGTTTCCTTCTGTTCTATCCTATAATATCTTCTTCTTCTTCTTCTTTTCATGCAATTGTTTTCTTTACTAAAAGAAACCATGTTGAACTGCAGGTTCTCAGGCCAAATCATTTCCATTTCCGCTATGAATTAATTCAAAACGTGTGTTTCCATTCTCTCTCTCTCTCTCTCTCTCTCTATTTACATATGCATGTGTGTTAATTAGTTATATATATATATATATATATATAGTAGTATTAATTTCATCTGCTGTCTTGTTTTTGTATCATTAGTGGCAGATTTCTGCTTGCTTGTCGTCCCCATGCGTAATCGATCCAGAAGAAATTTTCACCATTCAAGGGTTCTGGCTTGTATGGCCTGATGGGAGTCCTGTTATTGATTGCTATGCTAAACCATTTAACAGTTCAGTGGTATGTATCTTTGTTAATGCCGAAGAGGTGGTTTTTTTTTTTTTTTTTTTTTTCCAAAGAGAGATGCAAATGGAGTAAATTATAAATGAGTCCATGTCGAAGAACAAACTAATCATTTAGTCTACTGTAGTTAAGTTTTTGTTGGATCTATCACATTAACAGTTAAGTTTTTAATTATTTTAAAAAATTGATGATTGATTTTAAAGAGGACAGGGAGGAGCAAAATAAGGAGAAAAAAACAACTTCTAATAAAATGAGTATGGGGATTTGAGGAGAAAAATAAAAATTTATTTTAGTGATTGGGGAGGGACAAAGAAAGTGGAGATTAATAAAATTAAAAGTAAAAATTTGAGAAAATGAATGAGAATTTGTTTTGGTGTTTGAGGATAGAAAAAGAGAGAATATGCGTGCGAAGGAGAGAAAGAAATAACAATTTGAAAATAAAAAAATATTATAATAAGAATACTTCATCACCTCGCTCTAACATAAAGCGACAAAAATACTAAAACGTAAAAAATTAAATGATTGTTTTTTGAAACAAAATAGACTAATTAATTAGTTTTTTAAAAAGAGGGACTAATTTATAATTTACGAATTCACAGGACTTTGGGCTGAGTTAGATAGAGGCAGCCCTCTTGTTACAAGAACAAGAGAATTATTAGAACAAAAACTTGCTTCAGAAAGAGGGGGAAAAAAAATTCTTAAGTAGCTAATGCTACAAAGTGACTGCAAGATGTAATTGTATTTTCAACATCAGCCATTAAAATTACTTTTGTGTGCAGTGCTTACACCGTAATTTTCAGTTGATTTCAATCTTCGGTGCCTTTAAATGAATCCCACCTTCCGGAAGAATTTCCAATCACGACTTCTGTTTTCAGCCGCGGCTAGATCATATTCAGTTCTTCGATCATGAACAAAAAGACTGAGCATAATCAAAAAAAAAAAAAGATAACAAAAGAAAGAGTTGGCCCGATGGTTAAAATATGTTTTTTTATTTAAATTTATGAATTTTAATTTTAAAATTAACATTTAAATATATCATTTCATTGTGGAGAAAGTGCGCTGTTAAAATTACTTCATAAAAAAATAAAAATAAAAGGAGAGCATTACTCTATATTTTATAACCCGAAGACGTCATAATACTGTACTAAGAAATTTTAAAAAATGAAATAAAATTATATATACTCATACTAATTAATTTGACGCAAAAAATTAATGCTGTGCTATTTTTGTGTGTGCATGGGACAGATTTCCGATCTCAATTCAGAACTCGACGGTGACTTAGAAAGATTATGGCCGTCCCTACACAATCCGAACGTCTACGAATACTGGGAAGATCAGTGGAACGAATATGGGAGTTGCACCCCTTTTGGCCAACTTTTCTATTTCAAGACTGCCTACCTCCTCAGGACAGCATATGACTTCTTAGATTATCTAGAAAACGAGGGTTCGTCTATTATATATATATATATATATAGAATCACTCTGCCTTTTCTCTTTTTTGGTTGTACATATTTATAACCACATGCATTTTGAAGTTTGAAGAAATGTTACAGGAAAGAGTCCAATCCTTCCGGGAGATTATGCTTTAGTAGAAGACATTACCGAAGCAATCGAAGCTGGTATATCCAATACAATTGGAATAGAAGTAAAGAACGTTGTTCAAATACAGTGTGAAGAAGCCGAAGGAGAATATGTGCTCAATCAAATCTTCTTGTGTCTCGATCTAATTGGAGTACCAGCAGAATGCCCACCAAGAACAATGTGCGAGGGAGCGCCTTTAATCCCTAAAAGTAAGCCCATAATTCAGTCTCCTAAGTTTTCTATTTTAGTTTCGATTACGTGCACGTATACCAGTTTTCGGCTCCCTTGGAGCGAATTATAATTTAGTCCTTCTTGTTTAATATATTTATAAGTTAATCCCTCCTCCTTCAAAATTATACACCATAGTCCCTTATCTAAGATGAATGTTAGTATTATTATTATCATTATTACTTATTTATTTTTACTATTACTACTACTATTATTATTATTATTATTTATTTTTGTTCAAGCGGGTAAATAAATCTCTAATTACAAATCTCTTTCATTATTTTACAGAGATTAGCCCACCAAGTCCTCCTCCTCTCTGGTCTCCACCTCCTCCTCCGCCCCGTCGGTCCCCTCCTCCTCCACCGCCCCGCCGATCCCCACCACCTCCTCGTCGGTCCCCTCCTCCTCCACCACCCCGTCGGTCCCCACCTCCTCCGCCTCGCCGCTCCCCTCCTCCACCCCCCGTCGATCCCCTCCTCCTCCACCCCGTCGGTCCCCTCCTCCACCCCGTCGATCCCCTCCTCCCCCGCCTCGCCGGTCCCCTCCTCCTCCCCCCGTCGATCCCCTCCTCCACCCCGTCGATCCCCTCCTCCCCCGCCTCGCCGATCTCCTCCCCCGCCCCGTCGGTCCCCTCCTCCCCCCGTCGGTCCCCTCCTCCCCCGCGTCGTCGGTCTCCTCCCCCGCCCCGTCGGTCTCCCCCGCCTCGCCGACCTCCCCCGCCCCGTCGACCTCCATCATCTCGTCCATCTTTCTTTGCTGAAATGGTTGCAGCAATCAATTCTAGTCTCTGGACTTGAGCCTTGCTATTTTAAGTTGCCTTTGCCAACTGGAGCTGAAGTTTTACCCTTCCTTAATTATTATATTTAAAAATAAAGAAGCTACTTCATTATTCCTCATAGCTTCCTCTGTGTGTGTGTTTTGTTTTTAATAAAGTATTAATGTAATCTGCTTCAATATATGGTCTGATGGCAACTCATTAAATAAAAAAAAACATTATTCCAATTATTATTGTTATCATAACCCAAATTTTGAGTTAAATATATTTTCACTTAATTTATTTCTTTTACTTCTATTTTTATTATCATTGTTATTTATTTTATCCTCCTTTATTTATTATTTTAGTTGTTCATTATTTTTATTTCATTTTCATTTTGTTCATTTTCATTTTTTTATGTATTTATATTTTATTTTATTTTAATATTTATAAAAAATATAAAAAGAGAAGAACAAAAAGAAATATAAAAATATAAAAATGCAAAATTGAAGGATATTAGCAGCATAATTGCATTAAATCAACTTGAAATTAGATGTTAATAGGGTTCAAATGGAACAAAAATTGAAAAGAATTAAGGGCATAATTGAAAATAATCAAAGGATATGATTGAAAAAAAATTAAGAAGTTGAGGACTAATTTGACAAATTGCATCCGAGATAGTGAACATTTGTTCACTATCTCCTATATTTGAAAATCAAGAATGGTTTCAATCATTCTAGGTTTTCTAACTGTTTTGATTCCCTCAACTAGCTCATCAATCCCTCTCATTGGCTTGGTCCGCAACTCGTGCTTGCAAATTGAGAGGATTATAATATTAGAAAATAACATAATGGAGAGAGGTTGATTTTGATCAAACGATTGACAATAAAGGAAAAAAAATGAAAAATGGAGTTTTTTTTAGCCAAAATTGGGTAGAAATAGGAGTGGTTTAAAGTGCAAAAAATAATAATAATAATAATAAAAAATAAATAAATAAATTAGAGTAGAGAGTGCAAATAGAGGAAATATGGGCATTCAATTTTTCACGGGTTTGGTTGAAGTTCTAGGTTGGTGTTCTTAAAATTCTGAATTTCCTCCGGAACTTCGGTTTTTTGTTCTTGATGTTTTGGGTTTGCTTTAGTATTTTAGGTTTCAAAAAACACCGAGAGATCATTCCCTGTAGGCATTTGTAAGTCTCCAATCATCACATTAACAAACTTCGGATCACAAGATCTTTATAGAATCAATCCACCGGTCATCGTCCATCACCTATAAGCGAGAGGAAAATTAAGGCAATCCTATTCATCATGTTAAGCACATCCCAATCGATCAAGCTTTTCTCAAGTAAACCGAATCATCTCTTTGTTTATATTAATCACTCTTACTCCATTTTTGTTTGAGCAAAGAAAAATGGCAATGACATTATCACTACCAAGATGGAGTCTAAGGACTCAAGTTCATCTAATCATCAAGAAAAATAAACTATGGGGGATCCGAGTATGCTTAGGAATCACTTGTGATTAGGGGAGGAACTCCGATCAAAGGATTAAATTCCTAAGGTAGTGAGAGATTGGACTTTTAGTCTAGAGTGAAGAAAGGAAGAAATGAAAGAAAATAAAAGAAGAAGAAAAGGAAAAAAAAAAAAAGAGAGGAAAAGAAGCTCGAAATACACACACACACCTAACTCAAAAAGAAAGAAGAAGGGTAGGAAGAGGGTCGCCTTCGGCCCAATCCTAGCCTAAAGGTCCTAATAGCCTTAATTTTAGCCTTTTCCTAGGAAAATTAGTCTTGAATTTTTTAATATATTATTTTATTTTCATGCCTAGTTCAAGTTTAATATTTTTAAACTATTGATTTATTTATTTAATCAAAATGCTTAATTTTTTTAGGTTTTATCTCACAAATTAGAATGCATAATTAATAGGTGGATGAATTGGTGAGTCTCTAATTTTTAGAGACTGATGATGATGCCCACCATAAAAAAATGAGAAAATAATAAGATAAAAAGGAATCATAAGGAAAAAGAAAATTATTTTAGATAAGGAAAACAAATAAGGAAAAGGATGACACGAGAGAGAGAGAGAGAGAGAGAGAGAGAGAGAGAGAGAGAGAGAGAGAGAGATCCTTAAAAAAAATAAAAAAAATATAAAATACTAAGAAAATTTAACAAAGTTTGCTATCTAATAGGGATTGATGTTAATCAAAATCTATCACCTTAGTAATTAAGTTGTTCTCTAAAATATCGGTTATGTCAAGACTTAAGTTGAATCCAATATTAAATTGATGTGACGTCCGACGGAAGGGTCCGACGATTGGTTCAATATAATGCTACAAATAAAAATAAAAAAATTAATTTAGCTTAGGAAATAGAACTTGAAAATATATTTTTTTTAAATAAAATATTTTAGTAGATAAATTTTATGACTAGGCTCGACATGGTACCTTTCTTATGAAAAGATACTTTTGGGTAAAATATATCTTTCCAAAGGTATAACCTACTTCTTGTCCTAAAATCTCTAAAGCAATATCATTTTAATTTCTTAGTTACCTTTGATACTAGGTGGTAACTCCAAAATAAATGATAAGCGACATAAAAAAAAATTACAAAATCATCAACAAATAACTTATATTTTGAAAGTCCTAGAAAAGTCGGTGGCGACAAAATGACGGCTCCATTAAGGAGTAGACTTAAACCATAGGTTTAGTCTATTCAAAGTTTATCTCCTTTATTTATTTTTTATCATCCAAGTTCTTTATTTCCAAGTATTTATTTATTTAATTTCAAATTATTTAATTTAGGCAATTTATTTTCCTTGCATTTTAATTTACGTATATATTTATTTTTGAACCGAGTTGGATATACTAACTTTAAACTAGTACACATCACAAAGGAAGCCTATAAAAGCTTTGAACCCCAGCCAAAACCCCAAAAGGATTTAGATAGAGAGATTTGAAGGCAAGTATGATGAAAGTCTATTGATGCTCATTCGAACTCTCGCTTGGATTGGAGCTCACCTTATGCATAGAAAATGGTGGAATGACCTTTGCTAACTTCCTAGTGTATAAGGTTAGAGGTTAGATTACCTCATCGGTAATTTAGATAATCCAAAAAGTTAAAAGAGTTTATGATTAGAAAAGTTTTGCTTAAACCATAAAAAACTAAATCTTATCCATTAGGATTGACCCATTAAGACATGAATTGTCTTCAAGTAATGTATATTCTAACCCTTGGTTTTTACAAGCTACCACTAACAAATCATAATAAAGAAATCTAGAAATATAGTCAAGGATTCTAGGGTTATATTAGAATAGGCCTAAGTTGAGAAAGGAGATTGTCTACCTTAAGACTTTGTGTTAAAGCTACCGAGAGAAGGTTAGACTTGGTGACAAGATGACTAATATGAGTCCACTCCTTAGTTGTTGGGAAATGCTTACTACCTAAAACATATGGTAACATAGCCTAGTAGCTCAAGATAAAGACCCATATTTTATGCTTTCAAGCCATGATAGGGTATTGAGACCTATAATACCATTGTTTCACCTTTGGAATTGTGGATCCGTCACCCATACTTAAAAAAGTATTAGGCCTTGTTGGCATTTCTCAAAATAGATATTGTATATTTTTACGGTCCTCCGGAGAAAGAACTTGTCCATTTTGCATGGTTAACTCCGAATTAATCTCATTACTTTTAAAAAGCAAGTAACCTAGAGGGGTCGAGTCAAAGATGATTTTAGAACATGCTCCAATCATAATAACTACATCAAACTTAGAATTTTGGCACTGGCTATATATGGTTTAGTATTACTACCATCGATCAAAGGTATGATCGACTTTGAGGCAATCTGTAATGCTCCAAGCCCCAAAAGGAGGCTGAAATGCTACAATAGCATCGAACATTCATGGAGCATTGGACGTAGCTATAGCGCATATGGCCAACGAGTGGTCGGGCATATCGTAGCCCTGTCTCACGATCACTCGAATGAGTGTCGATGCCCTATGACCTCAAACCATGTGTGGGACATGCAATGAACGAGTGAAAGACATTTGGCTTGAAAGCCTAATTAAAAACTTATTTCATAATTGGAACTTTTTCATCGATGTAAAAACTTGCATCGCGAATCGAATTTCGTTGACACAAACTACGCCTGCGACGGACCTAAATCTATCACATTGCATGACAACCTATTGTCTAGTGACTTCACGAGTGGAAACTAAGAGTCTATTTACGTAAACCCATTATGAATGCTTTACGTAGGATACCAAAATATTAAAGGAAATGAAAATTAATGGGACATATGCTTTGAGCAAACTACTTTCGTTTGATTAAAAACAAACTTTTTACATACTTGTCTTGGCCATAAGACTATTTACATTCAACATTTACAAACCAAATCACGCTATAACATGTAAATATAAGCTAGACATAGCTTACGACCTAAATGTTTAGAAGAAAGTATACTTTCGAGAAACTCCAAAAGTGTCCGAGTAGTACCATCTTCGCAATAGCTTACTCGCAATTATCGTTGCAATCACCTACAACACAAGATATAAAGAATGAGCTAATGCTCGGCAAGTGCAATCATGCAAGAGTTTATTAAATCATATTTTTGTGAAAAAATTCATTTTTCTCTTTTGAATATGCCCTACTCGAATGTCCGATACGATCCTTTTTTAAAACCTCAATAAAAATCATAGAACTAGACAACGTCTAGCCATGGAACAATCTTTGGGTATACACTAGATCATTCCCATGGGTGACCTCTCTATGTTTAACCATTGGGTATACACTAGATCATTCCTAAGGATAAAATTTTCATGTTCACATGATTTCTTTTCTTGTTTAAAACATGCATCATGAAAACCAATGCCATGCCATGTCATGAACACATGCCTTTTAATGTTGGAGCAACCAAATATTATCAACGAATTCAAGTCGACGTAATTATGGTCGCAACCTCTACGTATTAAACTAACTTACAACGT